AAATTTATACAAGTTATTGACATAAATTAGAAACAAAAGGGGCCCTAGAAATGGTTCCTGGGGAACACCGCACGTGTTGATCATATTATCTGTTTTATCACTATTGCAAGAAATATATTGCTTCCTATTAGATAAGTAACTATTAAACCAAGCCAAGTTTGAATTTTTGATGCCATAGAACTTGAGTTAGGACAAAAGAATTAAATGATCGCCTGTATCAAAGGCTTTACTTAGATCTATGAAAACACCTAAAGTAAATTTTTTTCCATTAAACCCTTTAAATTTATCATGGTCAAGATGTACGTTTGCGTGATCAGTAGAATGACCAGATTTAAAACCAAATTGTTTGTTGTACAAAATATTATTTTGGATTAAAAAAGAATAGAGTCTATTGTACATAATTCGTTCTAGAACTTTTGAAATACAAGTAAGAACAGAGATTGGACAATAATTAGTAGCGTCATTAGGATCGCCTGATTTGAAAATTGGGACCACCCTAGCAATTTTTAATTTTTCCGGAAAAACTCCCTCTTTTACAAATAAGTTGAAGATATACAAAAGCGAGATTGTAATAAGATTAAATTTATAATGATGTTACCATTTATTTTGTCAACACCTATACTTTTTTTGGGCTTAATCGAAGACACTGCGCATAAAAATTCTTCTTCAGTTAGAATATCGTTTAGAGATTATCGTTATCGTTTCAGTTACTTATCGTTTAGAATATCGGTTGAATAAATGGATAAGCATCAGATGTTTTATCGGAAGTTATCTTTAAAAACATTAATGCTAACAAAATCTTTTTACAAGTTTTGGCTATTTCTGCAGACTATTCAATACAAATTTTAGAAGCATTAAATAAAATGTTATAACAATAAAAAGATTATCGTCAAGCTAAACCCTGAAACTCTTGCTTTTTTTCTTATGCAATAAACAGCTACACTTTCAGCAATCAAAAGAGTGCTTAAGTTATATCAGACACTATGATCATTCTTTTTGGACCTATAATTCTTCCAAAGTGATTCTGAGCCAAGCGAATATTTTTTATAACACAGTGAAAAATAAATAAAATAAACAGTTGACATTTCTGCTACTAAATTTACCGTACTGTTTAAGGATTTGAAAGATTAAATAAAGTTCAAAAAAGTAAAATAGCATATCTACCTTTTATGATAAGATAGCATTTGCAAGTTAGCAAAGAAAGTAAGTTACAGTGTGGTACAGAGATAGATGCAGGTTTTTTTTAATGTTTGAGATTCAAAAAACATTAACATAAAAAGTTTAAACCCTTCTTAATTTAAGGGAGTTACACATTTTATATGGTGATAATTTTTGAACGCTGAGAGATAATACAATGAAACTTAAAAGTTATCAATGAATATAAGTGCAGTTGAAAACGGTATAAAAATTTTTTTATTTACTTGTTGCCCTTCGCGTTTGGGGTAGGGGATGGGGATAAAGTTAAAGAGATTTCTCGTTCCCAGCCTCCAATCATCGCAAATATTTGTAAAGCATAATTATTTGACTTGAATATAAATATACAAACGTTTGGAGTTTGCTCCATGTCTGGATGTTAGCTAACTCAAACACCATAAAGTCATAGATCCATTACTGGTGTGGTGCATTATGAAAATGTAAAACAGATGGAACTTCAACAGCATTGAAATGGCTCGGGAATATGCTTGGAACATTTATAAAAAAAAATCGGCATAATTTTCATACGTTGACGCAAATAGGTGCGTTCATAATATTTTAAAAATATAGCATTTTAGTAAAATAGCGTCAACGTATGGCGCGAATCAGCATATGTGCGAACTGGCATAACTGCGAATTGGCATAAGTGCACAAAATAAATTTGCAAGTATTGGCTTAAGTGCAAATTTGCCAAATAAATTTGCAAGTATTATACAATTAATGAAACTTTATGCCTAAAGTAATTCAGAAAGCAATTTTTTTTTTTATTATTATTGGTTTTTAAAATTGTTTAATAAAATGTCGTGTCATGATTGGAAACCATAGAAGAAACTTAAAGTAACATTTGTTTTTTAAAATAAAGTGATTCTATTTAATTATTAAGTTATACTCAGCTTTATGTTAAATAATTACAATAACTAATGGTTAAAACCTGGAGGCTATATAGGCGCGAATTGGCTTATGTGCAAACTGGCATAAGTGCGAAGCGTGGCATAAGTGCGAACTGGCATACCTGCGAATTGGCATAAGTGCGCTAAATAAATTTGCAAATACTAGCATAAGTGCGAACTGGCATAAGTGCAAAGCAGTTACAAAAACTGGCATAAGTGTGAATAAGCATAATTGTGCAGAATAAAATTGCAAATATTGGCATAAGTACAAATTATTTTTTCGCACTTTTGCCAGATTGCACTTATGCCAATGTTTGCAAATTTGTTAGGCGCACTTATGCCAATTGGCACAAACGTCTGTTCGCACTTGTGCCAGTTTATGCAACTGCTTTGCACTTATTCCAATTCGCACTTATGCTAGTGTTTGCAAAATCTTTTGGCGCACTTATGCCAAATCGCGCTTATGCCAGATCGCACTTACGCCATTCGCACTTTGCCAGTTTGCACTTATGAAATTCGCGCTTATTAAGTCGTCCCTTTAAAACTATGTAGCGTATCCTTTGAATAATTATTTTTTTAATGTTTTAATAAAAATCATTTCAGTCAATTTTATTTTATTTTTTGTCCAGTAAAAGAAGTTTTTTTTTTTAAATCAATGTTTTTCTTGGTAAGCTCTCTTATCAAACCGACGGTCTCCTATAAGTTTGCAAACATGAAAAGGATGATTCATTTAGTTAAAGACAACCTGCCCAAACCCAAACCCTCAGCCAATGTATGCACACTCAATTTGCCTATGGCTAAATAAATCAGTCAATGTATGTACCCTATAAAGCGCCTATCAAAAATTCGCTACAACCCTAATTATAGACGAATTTTTGTGTGACTTAAATATGCGAAGTTTTGGAAATCAGACAAGAAAACTTTAGTTAAAAAATCATAATTTAATTAAAAAATCATAAATTTATTATTACCATTTTTTATGATAAGGGTAACAAACTGCTTCGTTAAAAATAAAAACTTAAATATTTAAAAAAAATGTATGAATGAAAACAAGTTTATTTACTACTCTAATTTTTTTTTTAAACAACAACGCTAGTGAAAAAACCTAATTTAAACTAAATTTATATTTCTTAAAAATACTAGAAAATTAACCATAAACACCCTAAAACTAGGTTAAATTCCATTGTTTTTTTCTAACATCAAATTAAAAGGGAAGATATTTGTCATAGATGAGTTTCAAATGTTTACATTCTCGTTTTCAAAAAAAGATGCGAGCGCAAACTTGTAGGTAGAAAAACAAATAATCGGAAATTTTCAAATAAAAACATTGAGACATTTATGTTAAATTTATTCACTGATTGTTTTAAAAAAAAGTTCAAAGATTGTGTTTGTATTATTGATTGTACTGAAATATTTATTGAAGGGCCAAAAAATTTAACTTCACGATCACAAACTTGGTCTAATTACAAACATAACAATACCATTAAATATCTTATTGGTATTACTCCAGCTGGGGCAGTTAGTTTTTTATCTCCTGGCTGGGGTGGTCGTATTTCAGACAAACAAATAACATTTGAGTCAAACTTTTGTCAGAAGCTTTATCCTGGTGACTGTGTTCTTGCTGACAGAGGATTCAATTTTAAAGATGAACTAAATGCTGTTGGGGCAACGTTAAAGGTTCCAGCATTTACGAAAGGTAGACAATTATCTGGATGGGAAGTGGATACATCAAGAAAGATATCTAATGTTCGCATACATGTAGAAAGAGTGATTGGTCGAATAAAAAAGTTTCGTATTATTCATATGACTGTTGCCAATCACCCAAGTGGATTTGTTAGATGATATTATGATTATTATTTGTGCTCTTGTAAATCTTAATATGGAGTAGTTACTTGATTAATGTAAATGTAAAAATAAATTTACAGAGAAGCAATTTTTACAGTTTTAAAATCTAAATACATATTAAAGGAAAGTAATATTTGTTCTGGTTTATTGCTTGGTTTTACATTCTTTGCATAACCAATTAGTAGTTTTTGGAGCTCTTTTCAGTCCAACACAAGCGTAATGAAATCATTCATATTTGCAGTTGGTAAAATTGCATGGTATCATTTTTCCAAAACTTGGTCTTTAGCATATACAGTAAACTTTCCTACTATTTATTGTCGATTTATCATTACGACGTGTTACAAGCTCTGGCAATAAAATGTTTTTGAAGTACATAAAAACTTATCAATCATTTTGAGAATAAGATCTGTATCTTTTTCAATTGTTAAAATAAAACTTTTTACAAGAGAATACAAGAAAATCAGCCTCAGAACAGAGACATACATGTAGTTGTAATTGAATTTAGTAATAATATTTGTGATCCTTTTTTATAATGAGATCTTTATTGATTGGAAAATCTTTATCTTCTTCCCATCCTTCAAAGCCATTTTGATATTTATAAGGACATTTGATCTCTAAAATGTTAGTTTGATGACAACTGCATCTAATCAATGCATCTGGAGAAGCTCCAATGAAGGGGTATTGTTCTCTCACATGAAAACCGGTACCTAAAAATTGGAAATTTATATGACTATATTTTACTTTTTCAATATAATATTTTCGTGCAACATGTTCCGTTTCTGTTCCATATTGTGTGTACTTATTAACAGAACTTTTTGCATAATGCATAATTTTTTTAACCAATGATTCACTTGACATATAGTTTGTGTTAGAATTGTATACTTCTTTTGCATTTGAAGCTGTTATAAGCCCTGCACGGTGCATCATCCAAACAGGATTCAATTATTGTGTTTTTGTTTGGTTGCAAAAGTTATTATACTGCCTTTGATTATTATCATTTTTATAATCGTTATATATACTTTGACAAAAAATGATCAACTTATCCTCAGATAATTTATACTTGTTGGATCATATAATGATGTGAGAGTTTCAGGAAGTGTTGTCTCTTCTGTCTCAGATAAAGTTTCAGTAGCACTAGAGTCATATTCAACAGACATAAATTCTGTAAGATTAATACTTGTAAAAATTGCAGATTTTGGGTTAATTTTGAAAAGTTTTTCCATCTCTTGAGCTGTTAACCGGTGCTCACCATCCATTGGATTATTGTTGGAAAAGTATTTTTTTAAAGGTAGCTTTGCAACCAAATCTTTTTGTAAAAGATTTTTTGAGGTTGCTGAAAATTTATGAGCTGCAATGAAGCAGGCTGAACAGATTTTTTGCATTTCTTCCAAGTACACAAGATACTTGTAGGAGGTGTTTCGTGTAATTTTAAACGTGAAGCTGCTTCTAATTTAGATAATAATGCTGCTACATGGCTACAAGCTGATCCTAGTCCAGCCATACATGAACAATTAGCAGTTAGTACCCAACCAAGTTCTTTCTCAAGACAAGTCCATACATTATACATATTTTTGTTGTTTTGTCTTTGACTTGGCAAGACCTATTACAAAAAGATTATTTCTATATAAAAATTATTATTTATTCGTCTGTAGTAAAAATTTATTTTTTAATTATATATTAAAAATAACCTTTGATTTTATAAAACAGAATTTGCTCCTATTCGATATTTTATTATAAAAACATTCTTGAACATGACCACAAGTGAAGTAATCAAATGCTTCCAAGGATTTATAGGCTCTGATTGATTCCTTCGTGTATATGCTAGGTGTATCGATTAAATATTGAGTAACGTCTTGCCATGTAATGTTTGGCAAATGATTGAGATCGTTGCTCCATTCTTTTGGTTCAATTATAAACGGATCCGATAAAACTTCCCCATTTTTAAGAGTTAACTTCTTTGTGTAGTCTATTGCTTCTTCTAATTTTAGACTTTTAAAATATTCACTCATCATATTGTTAACTATTTTGAAAAGTTAAGTGTTATTGTTGACTTCCAAAAACAGAAAAAACTTGTAAGAAAAATCGCAAGAGCAACAGCTATATTTAAACTCAAAATGAGTTTAAAATTTGAACAAGAACATCTGTTTTAAAATTTTTTAAACAAAAGTTTTTAAAAACAATAAAAACTTTTACCATCAAAATTTATATGAAATATTTGTAACTAGTTTTAATTATTATTCTTTTAATAATTTTTTAAATAAAAAATTAATTTTAGGGTACAAATATTGATTTTAGGGTAGAAAAATATACAAGAAACACAACTACGTTCTTGCGTTTTTATTTTTTCTACCTACAAGTATGCGCGCGCATGTTGTTTACAAAAAGACGTGACGTCGCACGGAAACTCATCTATAGTGGGTTTTAAAATGCATAAACGCAATAACCAAAGTTTTCCCTAAAGTTAACGGAAAAAAAATACTTAGGCGAAATATCGTCTACCCTAATTATTGAAAACCAACTAAAATAACTCAAATAAAAAAAAAAAAACTAAAAAAAATTAACTAAAATTGTAACCCAAATAAAGTTGTACAAACAAAGTTCGTATTCTGTCGCAATAATATAATTGACATTTCGAATAAAAAGATAATTTTGAAGAAAGTAGGTATATAACAACATTATAAACTACTTTTTTGCTCCCTTTTTTGAAAAACATCTTTCGTATTATCGTTAAAAAATACAGATTTTGAACATATTATTTTATTTAAGTTACACTATCAAGAACCGAAAAGTAATAATTACAGATTAATTTTTTTTTATTTAACCAGAATTTACAAATAGAATGTCCGACAAAATCACAGCAAAAGTGTAACTTGAGATGTTACATGGCTCTCAATAAAAGAGTGCGTGATATTGTTTAAACGTCCAATAATAATATGTGATTGTGTAATAATCTGCTTTTTAAAAATTTCATCTTTTCTATATGGGAGCAAAGGAAAGTTGAGTAACAAGTGTGCTTGCTTTTAATATTGAAACATATTGAATTTTGGATAGTTGTAAGTTTTAGATAAACAATTTAAATATTTAAATTTATTTACTTGTTGATGATATTATTGCAAAAATAAAATAAAAACAATTGTTTTGATAACAGAGCTCATTACTCTATATACTTTTTTACCCTAAATAAAATAGAAATATTATAATTAAATCTTAATATAAGTATACATAAAGTAAAGAAAGGGTTTAAGGCCACTTTTTCATTTACTTTCAGTTTTTTCTATTGAACTAAATTAATATTATCTAATTCATAATTGTTTTTTTTTAAGTGACTGACAACATTTTATTGCATTAGGTTGAACACTTTTTCTTAAAAAACAAAAGTTTCATAATGTGAAGACTCATATAAAGTTAAAAAAATAATAATCATCAAATAATCATGTAAGTAGGCTATAAGAACAAGTATATTAAAAATATTTATTTATATATTAGTCATATATATATATATATATATATTAATCATATATATATATATGAGTTTGAGTTTGATATATTCAGTAATCAAATTTATACATTTAAACCGCAATAATGCTGTAACAATAATTAAAAAATATATACATATACATATGTATATATTTAAATGTTAAATTATTTGTTTGATGAAGAGACTTTTCCAGGAGTTTCTATGCTGATTTAACAGTTTATCGCATCGAAATCCGATCTTTAAATGCATTTAAAGTCTTAATAAGTTTTAAGCATATGTGAACAGCAAACAAAAATGTAAAGATGTAATTTGCACTAAAAATCTGCTTAAAATAATTTTTGGACAGTTATCAATAACGTGGAAAGATTTAAACATAGTTCCAATTTTTGAAATTGTGACAGGCTTGATCCTTTAAACTATAGACCTATTTTCTTTCATTCATTATATGTAAAGTTTAAGAAAGTTTTGTAAAAATAGCATTCGGCATCTTTTAGATAATAATTTTTTAACGAGAACCAGCATGGTTTTTATCAATTAAATTTTGCATTACAAAATTACTTAAAAGCCAACTCAAGCAATGGATCAAGAATACCCTATTGACATGTATTCTAAGCTGAAACACATGGTATAAATAAATAAAAAATAAAGAGTTTTGTTACTGTCATTGCTTCTACATGAATTTGTGTTTTAAGTGTTGTGCCCACTTGAAACACAAAAACACTGGTTGTTAAAAGGTAAATGGTACTTCCACCCATTAACTTTTAACAACTTTTTAACTTCCAACAATAGCCTTTAACGTTAACACCTTTTAACTTTAGCACCCTCTTACTTTAGCACCCTTTAACTTTACCCTTTGAATTTAGCACCCTTAACTTTCAGCAAAATAATTTACTATTTCATAGCATTTTTTAATTACTAAAAAAAAAAAATTTTAATACTTAGTAAAAACTTTGAGTGAATTAATTTATTTTACCCAAAGCTTTTGGTTTTATTTTTTTTAAAGGAATTTGAAAATAATTGTTGTTGTAGTTGTATAGAACTTTGTGTAAATGCAGTAAATATTTTTTAATAATGTTTTCACTTGGGAACTTCTGTATATTCTGCTTTGCCAGCTCCCTTAAAAAATATTTTTGATTGGCCTGCACCCCTCAAAAGCTATTTATGATTGGCTTGGTTCCTTAAGTTAATCAAAAAAGGTTTTGAGGGATGCAGACCCAATCAGAAAGATCTTTGAAAGGTGCGAGCCAATCACGCTAATGTCAAAAATTCAAATGAGAAAAAATAAATTTTTTATTTAAGTAATAAGTAAACGATAACTTATAGTCCAAGTATTATAAATATGGCAGAATCAATGTTTTCAGTCATTTTAAATGTATTTTAGATTTAAATAGGGTTTTATCTAAAAAAAAAATCATTTAAATCTAATATCTTCCCAAAGGCTTATAATAAAATTAGAAAAACAATTTTGTTCAATGAAAAAGCTATAAAAAGTGTATTGCTTAAAAATATGCAAAGTTTCATATATAGTTTTATACAGTTTCCACTCAATCAAAGATTTGGAACTGGAAGCAAGTGAGAACTGGAAGCAAGTGAGGAACTGGAAGCAAGTGAGGAACTGGAAGCAAGTGAAGAACTGGAAGCAAGTGAGGAACTGGAAGCATGTGAGAACTGGAAGCAAGTGAGAACTGGAAGCAAGTGAGAACTGGAAGCAAGTGAGGAACTGGAAGCAAGTGAGGAACAGGAAGCAAGTGAGGAACTGGAAGCAAGTGAGAACTGGAAGCAAGTGAGAACTGGAAGCAAGTGAGGAACTGGAAGCAAGTGAGGAACTGGAAGCAAGTGAGGAACAGGAAGCAAGTGAGGAACTGGAAGCAAGTGAGAACTGGAAGCAAGTGAGGAACTGGAAACGATTTTTAACAAGTGAGTATCAATAATAAGTTTCTTAAATAATTAATTTGAAAATAAAAATATTTATGTGTATGCATGCTAGAAGTTTGATATTAAGTAAAAGAACGATTTAAAAACAGTTATATATAATATATAAAAGTAACAGTTATATGATATATATAGTATAAATAATGTATTATATAGTAATATATAAAGAAGTAATGTTGATTATTGGTTAAAACAATTGCAAATAAAGAAATAATATATAGCTTTTTGTGACAAAGCATTTTATTTATAATCTTATTTAAACTTTTATAATTTTATTTATTTAAATTTTGCTTTAGGTACTTAAATTTTATAAATATATATTTTCTTGTGAAATTTTATATTGTTTGCTTAAAAGTGTATAATTTTTTTTAAAAATGTAACAGAACACTCAGTATCATATCAGAGTCTATCAATATTACAACAAACTATTCTTATTCTTTGTTTCTTATTTGTGTGCTCTCTCAAGTGTTGTTGGGATGTCAATTGAATCATATTATCCTTTAAAAAAATGATACAAAAGACATAAAGAAAACTTTTTATGAAATAATTTTTTATTGATCTGTTAGGCAACATGATAAACATTTTTTATACACATCATTTCATGAAATTCTAGCATCCTGTTTTCTTATTGTACTCAGGAAACGAACAAACTAAGCTCCAATTTTCATTTTCAATCAAATAAATCCTATTAAAACAGTTTAAAAAAAATAACCATTCTTCATTGTTCTTCAGTTTTAAACAGATTTCTAATATATCATATAAAAAATCTCTTTGTTCCTCTAAAATCTTCAAAATATACCCCTAAAAAAAACCAAGTACATGTTTTTTTTGCATCTAAAGTAAAATTCCCTGATATGAATCAGCCCATTTCATGAAATTCTAGCATCCTGTTTTCTTATTGTACTCAGGAAACGAACAAACTAAGCTCCAATTTTCATTTTCAATCAAATAAATCCTATTAAAACAGTTTATAAATCCTAAAAACAATTCCAATCAATTCTCTTGGCTTGCTTTATTCTCTTGGCTTGCTTATTCAGAAATTAAAAAAGCTTCTTGTGTTATTTTTAGATCTGAAGAATCAAGTTGTTAGATTAAATCTCAACAAATTAATTGATGAACAAGTCAAGAAAAATAGAGAAGTATTAAAACCAATAGTTTTTGTTATCTGTTGAAAACAAAACCTTTCCAAGATCACAGAAATGATTCTTTTTACTATGAGAATGAAAGTAGTAACTCTGGTATTCTTCAAGTAATTTTGAAACTAATATCAAATTGTACAAAAAACAATATGGCGAATGGTTTAGTAACTATTGTAAAAAATGCTACACATCACTTTAAAACTACTCAAAATGAGTTGATTAATATTTGTAATGACATTATAGTTCCTAAAATGACATGTGAAGTTAAAAAAGATAAACAGTTTTCAATATTAGTTGATAAAGCATTTGATGTCTAATAGATGTATGTGGCACAATATGAATTGCGAGAAATAGTCGTTTAGATGTGTTCATAGGGCTACTACCTACTATAGTTAAATGCTTTCAGCTAATGATTAATAACAAAGTAAAGTTTTGAAAACTTTAAGATTGATTTAGTTAAAAAACTTTTTTTAAAAAAGTTCCCTGTCCAAGAGGTGAGTATAACCCTTCCTCTC